GCTAAAAAAGTACTTTTCTTTTGTCTTGGTATTTGTTTGCATGTTTAATTATCTTTAACTAAACTCTAGATGGGTTGGTGCTTACAAAACTTTCGAGGTCTATCTTTCTATTTGGTGTCCGTCACGACTTGAATCTTAGGTACATATTAATATGTCGTTCATGCTCTATTTGTTTTTGGACTTTAAGCACGAAAGACGGTACGTGTGAAAAAAAATATTCCGATAACTCTCATCACCTTTAAATTAGCCGGAAGTTTCAACGATACATTTATAAAAAAAAGATAGATTTCAACGTATAGTCTCTTGATAAGACAAAAATACACAAGAGATGATGTTTTGAAATAAATATCATGTGAAGCTTGTCTTAAAATTGACATGTTGAATTATCCCATCCCATGTGATCAGTCATTCTTTCGACATAGTAGTCTCTTGGAGTCTTCTCTTTGTCCTTTGAGCATTATTATATATAGTAAATATGATTGAAGTAATATATAAATTTTATAATATTAATTGTATTGAGATTGATGAATAAAAAGAGAAAGAGGAGAGAGATAGAGAGAGATGTTATATTTACCCACTAAATATGGATAATATAGATTCTATATTTAAAAATCCAAAAATAATTTGGATAAATATAAAAATTTTATAATAATAAAAATCTCTTATATTTACCCTTATTTACCATCTATAATCATGTCCTCACTCAACTTACTATTCTCTTCATCCTTATATAAGTATCAAAGATACCCTCCCACATATTTTTAATTTTCTCTTCCTCTTACATAACGTTTAACATTTTAATTATTTATACACGATAAGGAATTGATTTTTTGAAACTGTGTTTGTAGGAATTAGATTTAAAATTTTAAAGTGTAAAAATATGGTCGTTTTTACAGCTGTTGAAACCATGCATGTTTTATTGGCTTCGTGAAAGAAAGGAAAAAACATATCAAAAACAAAACAATTATTTTGGTAATGATATTTTTAGTAAAACATGTTAGAATTATTGATACATTAAAGTTTCATTGGGTAAAGTAATTTTGATAACTTTAAAAAGTACAATTGTGCCAATTAAAACGCCGAAAGTTTTCATCTGAGTTTCTAAATTATACATTAAAATATTAAAATATTGTGGATTTTAAGATTGTAGGAAAAAAATTTGTGTGTGTTTTAATTTCCACTAGTTAAAAATTCATTAAATTTAGTTTTTAATATATTTGAGAAATTCAATGACAACTTTTCAATGGCATTGCACTTAGTAGCGTACCAAAATATCTTTTAAGATTTTAGAGTGCGATTGTTATGTCTCGTTAAAATATAATGGGGTAAATCTTCAACTATTTTAATGCATTGAGAGCAGGGCGGTCCTCAGAATTTAAGGGCTACAAGCAACAAAAAAAATTTTGGGTCAATAATTATTGATTTTTTAAAAAAAAAAATTTAAACAAAATGATTAAGTATGAATCAAACCCTCCACTTTTTATTTTCTCTATATAACCTATGAACCAACTAAACTAAAGAAATTTTTTGCATATTTTTTGATCGATAATATATATAAACAAAATATCAAAAATTTTGGGCCGCAAACACAGGCTTGGTCGCTTGATAGGTTTACTGTTAAAAAAATTACTACTTGATAACAAAAAGGCTTTTACTCCAATATGATAAGATCCATCTTTCCATATTTTTATTCCAATTTTAATGTCAGTCGCAGCTTTAATTGGTGGATAAGGTTGGCAGCTCTACAAATTTAATACATAAATAGTATCTCTCGGTATATGTTGTCTTGTGGTTGGTCAAAATTCAATTCTCTTACCCAAGATGATCAACTTGGCTTCTGTGACAATTTAGTTTATTAGACGAATCCAAATCTTTTTTCAGTATTGATGATTTTTATATCAATAACAGTACTAAGTTTAAAAAAAAAAAAAAATACTAAGTTAATTATTAATGTTGAAAAAAATACAGGAGGGAGAAAAGTGCAGTTATGCGGATTGGCTCAATACGGGAATCTGATTGGAATAACAATCGGCTATACAATCACAGCGTCGATAAGCATGGTGTAAGCTTTCTTTTTTATTTAATTTAATCAAAGTCAATAATATCGAACTCACTTTTTTCTTTGACTTATTGGGTATAAATGATAACAGAAAAATTTTGCAGAATTATAGAATCTTGCAGAATTTTTTATGTTTTTTACAGAATCTTGCAGAATAACTTTAAATTCAAATGATAACAGCTAAATCTTGCGGAATATTGCAGAATTTTTGAAAAAAATAAATTAGTTATATTTATAAAAAATATTTTAATTAAATTGTGTTTGTCAAAATTAAATATTCATGTTTATTAATATATTATTTTAAAAAATATATATAAATTTTTTATTCAATTATCTCTTAAACCTAATTTATTTCATTAATATTTTTGTTTTTACGTCTGGTTAGCAAAATTTACAAGTATTTTTTTGGTACAACTGCAAAAAAAATCCTTTTTAAAAAAAGCCACTAACTCAAAAAAAAATCATAAATGTTTAAATTCTAAATTCTAAAAATAGTTTGGGACAATTGCAAAAATGTCACTTTTACAAGTACTTTTCATTACTAACTACGAAAATTAGTAAAAACTTTATAAAGTTATTCATTTATAACAATAGTAATTTATTAATTAAAGAAAATTAAAATTAAACAAGTTTATTAAATAAATTTTAGTTTATTTGAGTAATGGAACAACTCAAATTTAATCAAGTTGATTAATTGGTATAATTAAAACAATATATTATAAACATATAAAAGGATTACGAAGATAAAAAGTGCGGAATTCCGCTAAATGCCGAATTTGACGAAATGAATTGATGATTTGTGGGTTATTTTGGTAAAATAACTAATGGTTTCAATTTTTGAATACGAGTATTTTGTCCATTTCTATTTATTTTTTTGAGAAATTTTTTTTTAATCTAGACACAGGAAAAAAATATAAATAAAAACAAAAATTCATCTCAATTAAAAATTTCCACTCCGAATTCTAAATGGTGATCAACAAAAAAACGTTCACCTGAGTTAAGCTCAATTATTCAATTTCATCATACACTTGTGTAGCCCAAACTAAAAATAAATCATTTCATATAATCTTATCCAATCAGAAAAGGAGAGAGAATTATTCCACATAATTTGTCCTTTTGTGCTATTCTCATTTTTCCTACTGGATTAATCAAATGCAACTGGTACCACAATTCTNTAATTTAGCTAAATTCCTCTGAATTCCACGATTCTACTGGTACCAGTTAGGCCCATTATCTTTTTTTGGTCGTTCTTGACTCATTTTCAAGCATGTTTACTAGTAAGTTTCTTTCTTTTCTTTTTTTTTTGAGAAGAAAGTAGTAAGTTTCTATGGTAATACAAAGTATCTCAAGTTTTATTTATTCTGCCTTTAGAGACAAAAGTGCTATGATAGTTAGAGATATGCTATATAAAATTTCAAAGGTCGTTCTTTGTTAGTTATTCGATATGCATATGTTGAATTTAATGCAAAGTGGAGCC